AATAGATCTGTACTCTGGCAACAATAGGCCTTAGGTTATAGACGCCATACTGAATTTAAAACAGATGAAAATAAGGCTGCGAGGCCTAGACTTACAGTCTTACAATGGCATGCACTCTATAAAGGTCCTTGATGTAATTTTCACAACTCACGACTTTCAAAACTGTTCTATGGATTTTTTGTCTACTGAAAGTTTAAAAATTTAAAAAAAAAATTAATCAAAAATTAAATATTGCATTACCCTGATTAAGGTCTATTGTCTTATTTGTGTCTATTTTATAGAGGAATTATGAGTTATGAAAGATCAACATTTGAGCCATATACATTTTTCCTGCCCTACACCCTTTTCTTTTCTCCATCATGATTGATATCAGAAAACAATAGTCTCTATAAGCTTCTCTAAATAAGATAAGATATATTTGAATTTATTTGGACAAGTTGTATTAAAATATTCTGGTTTCTACCATATGTATACTATTTTGCCATATTACTTATAAAGCTGTGAGGATAAGTATGAAAGAGATTGTGGTTGTTTTAAATTTAAAAGATGTTATATGTAATTCATCACTTCAACTATTTGGAGACTTTATAAATGTTTAAAGTTGTTTCTTGATTCCTTTTTGTCAGTGAACAAAATAGTTTTTCTTGAACGTAAATATCTTTCTATTTTAACTTTATGGCAAGAAATGCTACATTTCACAGTATTTTTTGCGCTGTACCTTTTATGCTCACTAGGTGGCGTGCAAAATTCGTTTTAGATCACAGTGTGAGGAGTTTGAAGTACAGCTACAGACTGGAAATATTTGAAAGTAAATTTCTGTCTAGACACCTTTAAAAAAATAAATAAAAAAAGTGGCACATTATTTTGAAACACACTCTGTCCTGAGATCATAGTTCACCCTTTCAGTTATATATCAGTCTGGCTTCACTGTGTTCACTTGTTTAGCAGCTTTAGCCATTTAGTCAGTTTTGAAATTGTGATGTTTGTAACTAACACAAAACCACTGTTTGAGTAAGAAAAAAAAAGATAACTACAGATAACTTCCCCTTGTGACAACTAGCCCCGAAATCCCCTATATAATATAAATATATAAACTGTAAACATAAAAAAATGCTGCTTTTGTACACTGGTTAGGGCTATACATATATATATATTCCTTTATATTAACACAGTACATTATGCCCTTTTTTAACACTTTTCTTAGGCTGTATTTTCATAATTTTTGCTGCTGTCCAGAATTCAGGCCTCAGTTATGAAATTTTTATAAATATTACATTTAAAAATGGCCAAACCTGACACTTATGAGAAAATACTCTTGTCCTGGGATCACAGATGCCTTATATTCAGCAAAACCCTTACTGGATTATACTTGGATCAAAGCAAAACGCCTAAACATGGAAGTGTAAATGCTTATTTATAAAACCACACCCTCCTTTAAAGACTTCGTTCCCCCAAGTCCTCTCCATTAGTTATCTTTTCTTTTTTTACACACTTCTTGTAGCTAACCGAGGAGTGCAGGAAGGCCCCCACGCCGCAGGTTATCTGCCTGTTCTACTCCCTCACTGACTATCACCCTCAAGTGGCCTGCAACCACCTGGGCAGAAGAAGAGTAAGGATACATAAGACTTCATATCAATAATTGAAAGAAACTCTGCCCCCTCGTTTTAATTTATTGATAAGCCCACCTCTCAATATTCCTTAATTACTCGGCCACCTGTACGCCCACCCTATAGAATGCAGAGGAAGCCATTACGGGAGGGCAGAAAATGGTCCACTGATCAACAATTCTATCTTTGTGTGGCTAAGACGGAGAGTTAGGTGTTGGGTTGCATTAGTGTCCTCATGTTGATCATGATAGTGCACATTTCTTTGAAGCTTATTGCATTGCCAAAACAATACAAGCTGTCATGCCGCAATAACTGTGAGGCGCTTCTAGTGTGTCCATCGCAGGTATTTCAAGAATCTGTACAATTTTGATCAAGAGCTGTGGACAATTCACTGAGGACATCACATAATCCAAATTGACAATAGGCTTTTCCTGATGTTTCAAAGAAAAAGGGGCACAAACCAAAAGTTGACAAGCCAGTCTTTATTGTTTTTGGTTAACTGTTAGCATAGCATTTTTAACAAGCTATGTTCAGTGGATTTTATTCAGCCGTACAATCTCGTGAGATGACTGATAGGATTCTCTTTCATGCAAAAACTGAGGTAAGTCGGACTGCGTTCTGGTCTGGCTTGATGTCTGACAAAATAATTGCAAGAACATGAGAGATATTATATTGGTTAGACTAGCTACTTTCTGAACATATCCTATAGACAGGATCCGCATTCCAAACAAGAATGACTTGCATAAAAAAAAAAAGTTTGAACTACTGGTCACACTTGAATTTCTTGAGTCACAGATGATGTCAATACATATATGTAAATTTTAAGTCAAATATTCATAATGTGTATGAATATTTACTCAAGCTTCCCAGATTCCACAAAATGAAGACTCACATATTGCATACTGTCACGTCACGCTGTTGAGGGAACACGCTGGAGTCACGAGGAAACGTTTAACAGTCTTTAATCACGAAACACAGGAGATAATCCACAATAGGAGCTTGAGCCAACACACGTAGAGAACGAGTAGACCTGACCAACACAAACTGAACAAACTAGGATCGACCACAATAATGTGATATTTAGGCCCTGGAATGTGAATGGTACCAGGAGAACCCCGCCAAAAAACATTTATTTTACCCCCCAATTCAGCATAACAGTTACTGCAAAATTATTTACCTCCAACTCTCTTTGCAGAACACCCAATCCCTGTTCTTTTTCTTTTTTTTTTCTTTTTCTCCTTGTAGCTGGAAATCAGCTCACAGACAATTTGCGGGCTATATATATATTTTTTAATAATTCAGTCTTGCTCGAGAACTCCGGTCTTTTTTCTGATTTCCTTATCACTTCTCGCGTGTGTTTTGTTGTGAAACGTAGTTTGCGGACCAGACAGAGTTGTCGGCGATTCTTCATATTGTAAAGTCATGCAGTGTGTAACCTCCTGTCGCCGATCCATCGTGCAATGTGAACACCGCAGCAACTGACTGCTACCTCAGATAGTCGTGCAGTGTGAAAACCACGGTGACCCGACGACTTTGAAAATCGTGCAGTGTGAACTCGGCATTAGGCACACAGGAAAATGAGGATAATTAACTAAACACAGCTGGAAACAAATGATGAACTAATCAGGGAACCTAATGGAAACAGGAAGGACAAATAAGGAAACACAGGACCAGAAACAGGGGCAAAACACGACATAGAACAGTCCAGAATCCTGACATATACATTATTGCTTAATATAATTGAATGCGTATGACTTTTTACTCAAGCTTACTTAGGTAATTCTATTTATGTTGAACATATTATGACTTACATAAAATGTTTAAACAATGCTGGTAACACTTACATTTCCAGAATCACAGATGATTCACTCCCAGGTTTTCGCAAAATGAAGACATAATTGACTCATAATGCATGTACATTGAAAGTCAGTATAATCGAAGGCATATGAATATTTACGCAAGCTTACTTAAGTAAATCTGTTACTGATTAACATATTGTGACCTGCTCAAAAAATGTTTGAACAATGCTGGCAACACTTGAATTTCCAGAGTCAGCGTTAATACGCTGCCAGCTTTGGCATAATGAAGACGTCATTGAATTTCATAATGCATGTAAAAGTCAACTTTATCTAATGCATATCAATATTTACACAAGCTTACTTTTAGACATTTTAATCCTGTTTAACATATTACTACATCAGGCTGAATATTACAGCAAGGACTCGCTCAACATCTAGACGCTAGTCTGGTAGCATATTTGCTGATACAAACTGAGGACTGCTAAGTGGCATACTTGGATTTTGATGACTCAGATTAGATAATATTAAATAGGAAGAGGTCATTTGTGCCATGTTCTTTTTTTTTTGCCTTGTCCTTGGGGCACACAAGCTTAGCCTGGAGGGCTGGCGAGTGCTGCGAACGGGAAAGAAGAATAAAAGGGCTCTTTGATGCAGTTTGGTCGGTTTGCCTGGCTGACTCCGGGCACAATGCTGAGTGACGGGGCTTGTCTTGCTAGCTCTTGCGGTCAGCGTGGCTCTGCTCATCTGTCATGGACCCCGGGGCCTCCATCACCAGGCCCACAATGGGCGTGATTATAGCCGTGATTATGGTTATGATGACAGTGTTCAGAGTCTGTCAAAGAGCACAGACTCATACCTCTTGTTCATGGAAATGGTTTCTACAGGACTTTCAGGTTTATTGATTTTGTCAATGCTCTAGAACTATACATGCGTTAGTCAGTGGAGGATTCAATACACATTGTGCGTCACTTCTGTCTTTCAGAGCGGGCAAGGCCAATTGTCTAATTAACATATTTACATTGTAAACAAAGCCAAGCTGCAATCGCAATATCTATTAGTTCAACTTCACCAAAGCTGGTATGGTAAGATTTCAGTGAGACCAAAGTGTTTACATGACATTTAAAAAAGACCAATTATTGTTTTAGTCTGTCTGAAAATGAACATGAAAAAGCATGTAACGCAAGTACCCAGTGTATTTAAACACTTAAAGAGGCTAAATAAAGATATGAACTGACAAACATAAACTTTTTTCCTTAGCAACCACTTTATTAACTCTTTGCATCCAAAAACTAAAATAATAATAATAGTTTAAAAACTCCTATATATTTAAGTAAAGATTGTTTTGTGGAGCTTTAGGAGGCTGCCATAGGCCATAGAGGGTACAGCAGACAGTGTAAATGAGATTTCACACTAGTTTCTTTCTGGCAGAGGGGACACCTACACAAGGTTGTGCTAATAATGTCACATCCTTAAATAGCACTAGCATGAATAACACAGAGGTGTGGCCTGCACATCAGTACAATAGATGACCCTTCACTTTCCTAACCTCAGGTTCTAAAGTCCCCCTCGGTCAAAGCGCGGGGCCCGGTGCGACATGGGTGAGGTTTCCTCTGCCAATGTGGTAATGATTCAGAACAGTGCTCTTTTATTCACGATTGTAATATATTTGAATACGTCTGAACACGATTTAAAATGCACATTTAATTTAGATTGTTTGCATGTACTGATCACAAACCATCACTAATCAGTCTTGGGGATTCACACTAAAAATGCTTTAAGGCTGGTAAACACTACACGACTTTTAAAAATTGAAATACTTGCCGACTTGGTTACAGATAAAAACTGGTTAACATACATTAAACAACTCAGAACGCAACCAACTCAGAAACATGGCAAAGGCCAAATAAAAACAATATGTGTTATAAAATTGTCTCAAATTATCTAAAAGGTCTGATGTCCTCCGACTGGATGGATTCAAAGTCATAGAAGGTAAAAATCTGAGTCTGTGCCCATCATAAACTGTGCGATTTTCTATAAAATTTGTCAAATCTGACTGTCCAATATCTGCAGACTGGCTCTGACTTTCTGCAACTAGCATTGACTTAACCAGTCAAAAAATATGTGCAGAAGTCGTGTGGTGTATTGCAGCCTTACACAGACAAACAAGCAACATTTACACGCAATAAAGGAAATGCTGTTCATTTACAACGCCCTTCTATAAATACTATAAGTACAGTATGACTACAAATGTTACCATGCAAATGACATTTTACTTTCACAATGAATCCACAAAACCACTCACACAAGTTATTTTCCTATATGAAAGTAAATTATTGTTCATTATATATGTGTTTTAGTCATGCCATGGCAGAACTAAAAGTGCAAAACATGATTAGGAATTCAGTAGGACAATAGTGCATGTGTTCAAAGCAGATTTCCATGTTGATCAGCAGATGTGGTCAGGGCATCATCTTAGCCTACTGGCATTTGCAGTACTTATATCTCTGAGGACACTGCTTCCGAGACACTGCTGCCTGTTTCCTGTTTTGAACCAGTCAAGCACTTGCTTTCTGTTTTCATTCCTCTCTTAAACCATAGAGGAATGTACCGGTATTAGTAGAGACTTCCTCATATCAGCCTTTCAGGAAACACACTGTGACATTGATTGATCCTTGTTTCTGTTCTGACCTAGAATGCGGCAGACCTTTTGTGAAGTAGATGTACATGTCATTTTTCTGAACTCACATGATGCATGAACTGGTTAGTCATATTCAAACCGTTGATCACAGAGCAGTAACTGATATTAAATAAATAAAACTTAAACAGAGGGCTCTCTGTACTATTTGCATCAATGTGGAGTCAGAGACATAAGAAAAACTAAGAGGGCCAAAGAGGTTTTAATGGCAGGCGTCTACATTCCAGGGTGCATTAACTTACACTGTCAACACTACGACGGAGCCACATGTGCTGGTCAAACTGCATTTAAAAAACTATTTTCCTTTTTAGTTTTTTTTTTTTTTTTTTTTTACAGTGTATGGCTGTATAAGTAGTATTTTATATTATCTAGAATTTAGCTTCTATCAACGCTTATGGAGAACTACTCAGCAAATGAAATTTGAAGACTAGAATAAACTATTGCTTGACATCTTCATCACTGACAAACAGCAAATATACTGTGACATTTGAGTACATGGGTGTGAATCTTTAACTGTTACAATAAGAGGAAGTGAAAGACTCAAATACAAGAGCTAAATTGCTTTATTTGAAACAATATTGAATGTACAGTAGAGATTGTCAGTTATTGTATAAATAATTTTAAAATGACACAGCATCACCCTGGCATTGATGCAGACATTGTTTTGAGATGACTATTCAAAACTACAAATATAATACTTGTAAAGTGAGAAATATTGCTAAATATTGCTAAAAGTTCACTACACTGCATATTCTTTCAGCTGGAGTTTTTTTTTTTAGTTATATTTTTTGACACAAAAGAAAAACACAATTAAGACAACTCTCACAGCTGAAGCCCTACAAAAGTTCACTTATAGATTGATTCAGCAAAAAATAGAATGAAAAGGATGGACTACGTATCTGACAGTATTCATTTAAATAAATTAAAATATATATATACTTCATAGCTTAAGCACCTATGAATACATCTTTGGGTCAAGTTATAAAGATGAAGCTGAAAGGCAAACTCATTAACATACTCACCTAGCATATAGTGGATGGCAACATGATGAAATGTAAATGGTTCGGAAATACAATCAGCTATTGCTTTGAACGAACATAAGTGCAGCAGCAAACATATATATTTCAACCAAAACATGGCCCTAAGGCCTAAGACACTCTTTTCAAGCACTGTTGGGAAAGGATTCTTCGAGCCATCTACACACCTCACAATATTTACTGCATTCATTATGACCAAAAGTCCTCAAAAAAATTTATTGCAGCAATGAAGAACTTGGAAAAATGTTTTCCAAATGTCTTCATAGCCTCTAAAATTGAGTCCGTTCAGTATGCACATATTACCAGACTTAATGCAGATCTCAGCTGCCTTTCAGACCTTTTGAGTTCAGAGGTCAAATGGAAGTATGTTATCAATTTGTGTGGCCAAGACTTTCCGCTCAAGTCCAATTATGAGCTGGTAACTGAGCTCAGTAAACTGAACGGTGCAAACATGCTCGAATCAAGCAGGCCCAGCGAAATGAAAAAAAAGCGATTTCAGTTTCGGTATGAACTGAAAGACGTGTCATATGAATACCATAAAATGCCAGTTAAGACAGACATTGCTAAAGACCCACCACCGCATGGCATTGAGATGTTTGTTGGGAGTGCTTACTTTGTCTTGACACGTGATTTTGTGTCATATATTATGACCAATCAATTGGCAAAGGATTTTCTGCAGTGGACAGCTGACACATATTCTCCTGATGAGCACTTTTGGTCAACAATGGCCAGAGTACCTGGAGTTCCTGGAGAGATCGGGAGATCTGAGCCTGATGTGACAGACCTGAAGAGTAGGACACGTTTGGTTAAATGGAACTATCTTGAAGGCCGCTTGTATCCACAGTGCACTGGCACGCACAGACGCAGTGTTTGCATCTATGGTGCAGCGGAGCTCCGGTGGCTTCTGGAGGACGGCCACTGGTTTGCAAACAAGTTTGATCCCAAAATTGACCCTGTCATTATTAAATGTCTTGAAGAGAAACATAAGTGCAGCAGCAAACATATATATTTCAACCAAAACATGGCCCTAAGGCCTAAGACACTCTTTTCAAGCACTGTTGATGCTGCTTCTCCTCAAGTTTCTCTTCAAGACATTTAATAATGACAGGGTCAATTTTGGGATCAAACTTGTTTGCAAACCAGTGGCCGTCCTCCAGAAGCCACCGGAGCTCCGCTGCACCATAGATGCAAACACTGCGTCTGTGCGTGCCAGTGCACTGTGGATACAAGCGGCCTTCAAGATAGTTCCATTTAACCAAACGTGTCCTACTCTTCAGGTCTGTCACATCAGGCTCAGATCTCCCGATCTCTCCAGGAACTCCAGGTACTCTGGCCATTGTTGACCAAAAGTGCTCATCAGGAGAATATGTGTCAGCTGTCCACTGCAGAAAATCCTTTGCCAATTGATTGGTCATAATATATGACACAAAATCACGTGTCAAGACAAAGTAAGCACTCCCAACAAACATCTCGATGTCATGCGGTGGTGGGTCTTTAACAATGGATGTCTTAACTAGCATTTTATGGTATTCATATGATACGTCTTTCAATTCATACCGAAACTGAAATCGCTGTTTTTTCATTTTGCTGGGCCTGCTTGATTCGAGCATGTTTGCACCGTTCAATTTCCTGAGCTCAGTCACCAACTCATTATTGGACTTGAGTGGGAAGTCTTGGCCACACAAATTGATAACATATTTCCATTTGACCTCTGAACTCAGCAGGTCTGCAAGGCAGTTGAGATCTGCATTAAGTCTTGTAATGTGTGCATACTGAACAGACTCAATTTTAGAGGCTACGAAGACATTTGGAAAGCATTTCTCCAAATTCTTTATTGCTGCAATAAAGTCTTTCGAGGACTTTTGGTCATAATGAATGCAGTAAATATTGTTGGGTGTGTAGATGGCTCGAATAATTCTTTCCACCATAGCACTGTTCTTGTGCACCACTAAAGAGTATGCAATTGGAAAGCTGCATTCCTCATCTGTAAAGATGACCTCATTATAGCCCCTTTGTTCAATGTAGTTTTTGCAGTCTGCAGTGAAAGAAACGATACTTTCATCAGCAACTTCCACAATGTTTTTGCGCCTTAACTCCAACGACTTGCCAATTTCCACCGGTTCCAGTTCATAAATGGCTGTGCAGTTAATGCCATTCAGAGGCTGAGCTCTGAGTGATCTATGTGTAGCTCCATAGGGTTCGATGTAAATACTGTTGTCCATTGAAATCTTGATGTACACCAGCTTCAGCACGACAAACAATGACACGACAAACACATAGAACTTGCATCTTAACCACTGTAAGACAGCACCTCTTTTCATTCTGTTGGCAAAGTAAAACAGGTGTTAGAAATAAGGCTGACATAATCACACAAATCCTCTGACAAAACTATTTAGCCAGGAAACTGTATCATATTCAGTTGGATTGTATCATAACTGAAGTGGACTTGCCTACCTTGCACGCTGCCGGTCTTCTGTATTGTGTTTCTCAACATTACAATATATGAATCTGTGTGACAAAGGAAGAATATCAGATGTAAAACCTGCGGTCCGAAAGGAATTCATTCGCTAATTTTGGTAAAGTTGCGGCACAGTTTGCCGCAGAGCCACAGAGATTAGACAGATACACAGATAAATATCACGTCTTTCGGTCGAAACCCAAGAAAACTGTTTACTAATTATATGTTCGAAACGACGTAGGCTAGTATAGAATTAAGAAGACTGACAGCAAATTTGCGCATTCTGTAACAAACTTACATGCGATGGAGATACTTATTAATGTTTTACCGATCTCTAAATGATCCATCGAGTTCAGTATACTTACAGCTGCCTTTAGGATTGCGTGGAGTCGTCCCGTCACTTCGCTCAAGATGAGTAAATTCTTGGACTGCCGACTTCACTTTGTGCAGTCTGTCTCAAGAGAGGCATATGAGGCGTGAACGCCGGGAAAGTCATGCCGCCCACTTGTACCCGAGCTTTGGTTTATCTACATAGGCGTTTCCTAGCATCACAAGCGAGTGTTTAAACACAATAGCTCAACTCGAAACGCGCTGCTGGGATAAATAGCGGTTAGTTAACATAGCCTACATAAATGGAACGGGTCATATGTTGACTTTTATTTTAATATCAAGACCATCATCTTTATCAAAGAAACGAATAGGTTTACAAAGACGTTTCAAATATATTCATATTTACAAACCAACAATGAAAAACAAAACTTTTGCACTTTATAAAAGTCATAACATTAAAGTTTATAACACTGAAACAGTTTTCTCTCGATGCTTGAACAGACACTTGCGCTACAGGAGCAACTTTCTTAAATTTCAAAGGTCCACTCCTCACTTTGGGCGAAGAAATCCCAGTATCTGTATATGGCTTGGAAAAAACTCCTCATTGCTGACCAAGTGAATGATCTGATGTTCATGAAAACGTCATTTTTGGATGGCTCTATTGACCAAAATGAATAAATTATTTAACAAAATAGTATTAACTAGATACAAAGATATTTGAAAAACATGCAGTCGATTACCAGCACCAGTACAAAGAACAGCATGTCACAGAACCAGCTGTTGTTTTTGTAACATTCTTTTAACATTATGTTTAAGTCTCATGGGTAATATCTGCTTTTACATGAGACTGGGATTTATATTTGGTTAGGGGGACCCCCCCAAGAGCTTTGAGCAGGTCAAAATTTAATACAGCAATCGAAACTTCATTTTAAGTATTAAAGTTTTATTGAAAAACCAGGGGACCCCCCCAAGTATATTTTTTTGGGTGTTATGGGGGGTGTTATAAAAAACCACCCCCCCCCCCCCCCAAGTATATTTTTTGGGGTGTTATGGGGGGTCCCTTAATGCTTATGGGATGTCCGTAAACTCAACATACATTAAACATATCCATGGATATAAAAAACTGTTTTTCAGTGTCTTCCATGCAGAGTATTTTACCTGGCTGCATTTGCTCTGCAGCCAAAAGCTGAGATCCCTGTTTGGAAGGGTCAGTTGTCTGGACAGGTTTACGAAAAGGTCCTTTAAATGTCAAAATCAGCTCTTTGATGGTTTCATGTGCTGTGAGGTCTGCTGCACTCTGTCCCTGCATATTCTTGTCACGAGGGCTTGAGCCAAACAGGAGAAGCCTCACTGGCATAAAACATCAAGATCAGAACTTTAACTGCTTTTGAAACTGCATTTACTTTTATGTACAGACTGATAGTGTGAATGAGCTGGTGAAGTGCTGGTGGCAAACTGGGAATCAGATTTAAAACTACAGAAATATTAATAAGCTCTTACACTTGTTTTCCATTCAAATTGTAATAATAGAGCTTTAGCTGCAATTACATAATTCTGGCAATAACACAAGTAGTCTGACTTAAAAAGAATATAGTGCATGTGTTCTGGCATTTAAAATTGGGACAGATCATCACAGAAATTCAGAACCTCATATGAGCCAAACGCAACAGCATCATGCAGCGGGTTGCATCCATTTAGCCCTCTGCTGGTGACATCGGCCCCCGCTTCTACAAAACCTCTAGAGCAGGCCTCATGAAGGGCGGTCCATCCTGTCCACCCAAGACATCATGAAAGCATTAAATAGATGAAAGATAATAATATACACATAACAAGGCAAGGGCTTTCCCATCTGATCTGATATATTAACATTGCTTCCAGCTTCTATCAAGCCTTTGACCATTTGCAGGTCTCCTCTGATGCATGCCCGGTGAAGTTGAGTCTCTCCTAAACTATTTCTCTTGTCAAGAGTTTTCTGTGGAATCTTCAAAACCTTCTTTGATACTGTTGAGAAATAACAGTATATAAAGTACCATGTTCTAAATAGTGATGCTATTATTTATGATTAACCCCAGGGGATCACCTGTATTCAGTGCATCTGCATCATTTATTCCTTTCAACGAGTTTAGTCTAAGCTGCCTTTTCTTCCATTTAGATTTCTTTTTCTGACTTTTCAGTTCACCTGTGTTTAGGAGCCCTTTGATTTCCAGAGCTGTGTATGAATCATGTTTTAAATGTGCCGTTTCTTCAGTGTTGTCCAGTGTACACAAATTTTCAGGAAAAAATCGCCTCAAAACACTCACTGAGGCCACTGAGTCTGGGTGTGCCCTCTGTTTTCTGCTTCCTTTTCTCTGGGCCTTTCTTCAGAACCAGAGTTCACACTGAATTTATGTGATAGCCACATCATGAATGTCAGCAGTGTTGAACCATTCCACTACAGTGCAGTCAGAATCAGCTGAATCTTTAACTGTATGATTCTCGACAATACAATCAGCTATGTGAGGATTTTCAGGCTGTTCAACATCTGTACAGAAAAAAGCTGGTGAAACAGGACATGTACTCGCATGATCTTTTAGAACGTCACTCACTGGCTCATTAACTACCCCCCTGCAAGAAGAATGTGGTTCTGCTTTAGGTCTACCAATAAGATCTGTCGCATTTGAAATCAATGCGTCATTTTCCAGCTCTTCACATTCCACGCCACCATTTTCAGTGTAGCTCTTACTCACTTTTGTCTGATTAGTGCTTTGTGCTGTCTCTATTATCTCTACCACCCCCTGCTTGGTTTGCATGGTGATCATGTCTGATTCTTCATCCTGATTTAGAGGCTTCTTTTGGGGCAGTGTTTTAGGAGATGCTTATTTGTGTCAAATCATTATGTGGTGAACTTAAACAGGTTTCTGAACAGCCAGAGATACTATCCACATGGAGAGACTCAATGGCAGGGCTGGTTGTTGGCAAGCACACAATTTCAGATGGAACCTTTCGGTAAACATCAAGAGCTGACTGTTGATCTTCATTCTGTTGAATTGAGGGGCCATCTACATTGTTTTTACTTTCAAAATCAACAAAGACATAGTTCAGAACAAAGCTGAGCAAGTAATCCAGAAAATCTTTTTCTATGTGAATGTCATGTTTTGATCTTTTGATCCTTTTCGCAACCAGCGAGTCATTATCATCCCTAATATCAGTCCCATAATGGTCTTGACAACCTTCCAATATCCTCTTTCCTGCTGCTGTGGAGCGAACTTTATCTGAATCTCCACTTGTGCTCTGACTTGGCTTTCCCTTATCAGTAATCTGAAATAGTCCATGAAATAAAAATGCTGAGCAGGTTTGGATTACAATGCAAAATTCACATGACAGACATTGTTTAGTGCAAAGGAAACCACTCACTGAAGAGCTATGGTCATGGAAAAAAATGTGAGTTTCACCAGCCTCCCCTAAGAGTAATAATAGAAACAAATAAAGATAGAATAAAATATGAAGGCAACAAATATAAATTTCCCCCTAAGTGTTTTATGTTTACAAAGACAACCATTTTCAGGAGACAATTGTTTAAACCTAATTTCTTTATTCTGGGAACTCCACATTGTGTCATACAGTAATTTCCTAACAAGGGAAATGAGTAGATCTGCTATTATGCATTTTAAATTACATACTTGTATAACACTACTTACTTCACATAACAAAACAAAACAAATGTAATTAATGTAAAACCATTTTAAAATTGTGGTAGAACATACATCTGTAAAATTCCAACATTTAGATTTTATACCAGACTATACATTTTATAATGTATTTTGCATTAGTATCATTGTTTAAGCATGCAGCACAAATTATGTAAAAGAACATAAGAGAACTAACTTACAGAAAATAACCCAATTTTGAAGTGTCAAACGTCAACTAAATGAACTTATCAGATATTTGACAATCCACTGAAACATCCCTACTGCTCTAGGAACCAGAGAAATCTTGAGTGGCACATAGAGTCCAATGTTCTGGTGATGATGAATAATCTTCAATATAATCCACTGTAACATCACTGTCTAGGCAGCCTGAGGTGTCTGATCCCTCGCTCTCCTGATCTTGAACCAGTGAGAGACCCTGGCTACACAAGTCCTGCTCTTGGTCCCTCAAAGGCCACAGTACATTGATGCTAGTCTGAGGTGATGGTTCCACTGGGAAATGAGGACACACAACACCCCAATTCACACTGAGCCTCACATTAGATATGCTATCTAATAAAAGGCAAAAATGCCAAAAAAAATCATTACCTTTTAAATTAAAAAGACAATCAATGACGTGTCTCCAACAAGTTTCCACAATGTAGCTTAGTGCAATTACTGTTAGTAACGGTGAAATATAGTATCAAATATATTCAACATGAATGGGCAGTTATTTGTTTTATTTTATTTTATTTTGTCTTATACATGCACCAAGCATGTAAGGCACTCGTTTTAGTAGATGAAGCTTAAGTAAATAGCTTTAGTAAATAAAACTGTGGGCAAAACATAACTCAATTTGAAAATGGCTTTGCTTGCTAATGTGTCATTTTGAAACATTAAATGCTGAGGTGGATATTGTCACAAAAAACTAATTTTTTTTAAGCAATTATTGTGGATTTAGCACACAATCAAAATAAACTTTTATTCCAAAATAAACTTTGATTTTATTTCACAATAAGATTTGATTTTACTTTATTATGAGCTGTTATTGCAAACACAAAATTTGTCAAAATAACTAGCCTTACTACATGAGGATGAATTTTACACTTGACACCCTTTAAAAAAAACTTTCTTTCATATCAAAGCCTTTAAGATAAAAGAAAGTATTTTATATATCTTAAAAGCAATCTTTGTTCTAATTTAAGCTGGCTAACTTAACCTGACCATATCTTTGATCAATACCACATTAATTGAATTTGAACATATGTGTATTTCACTGTTGGGTAAATGTTGTGATCATCACTGTAACTAGATGAGACTGTCAAGGGGTGCACGTTTACTGCTATTAAATACTGCATGAGCCATATCTAGTCCCACAACCCTTCAGTAATGTAGAGAACCTTTGAAAGAGGCCTGAAACCTCATGGATGGATCACAGCTTGGTTGTCCTCTGCTTGGACCAGGAATGGGTTCAGCTTCACCAGACTGCAGGCTGCTTTCATGCTCACTTGTATCAGCAGTTCCTGTTGATTTCTGAAGAGGAGCTCTTGTGTCCTCAAAGTTAAATGAAACAAAAGAAATGAAACAAAAGTAACTGATCAGTAATCAGATCATGTAATGATGCCACAGTCAGTGACAGAAGATTTTTTATCCAATGACACATCTTTGACTTACTTTGATGGAGTTCTGGTTGTTTCTTTGGCTCAAACTTGGATTAACTGCAGAATCAGTGATGCTGGGTGGATTTTCAGCTATTTCAAAATACAGCAAAACAAACCAATTTTTACAATTTATATTAAATGTTTTGTATTGTAGGAGTATATATATATATATATATATATATATATATATGCAACACATAAATATACATGGCCTGGATAAAATCATGTAAACACCCATTATTATAGGACTAATATAATTCATATAGGCTAAAAAAACAATTATCTTTTATTTATTTCATTGTAAATATTCTCTAATGTGTATATCAGTGTTGTATAAGTTGTGTTCAGCAGTGGTTAGTAGTACAAGCGCTCCAGGTAATGGCTGACTTGTCAGACTTCCTTCCAAAAAGGACAAATCATGGGAGCCCATTTAAGAGGCGCATCTGTTACCTTAACAGCCCAATTGTTTTTAAGTACAACATTCATTATGATTATGACTGCATACACAAAGCATGGAAAGACTTCATCAGCGAAGAAGAATAGCGGCCAAAAACTGAAAGTAAATTATTCAGCAAACCTCATTATTCACATTGAAGACCCTATTTCCACAAAAAATGACCAGAGACCTTCACAAAGCCAACATCCATGAAAGAGCTGCAATTACTAAAACTTTAATCCAAGACAACACTGCTAAAATGCAAAAAATATGTTATGTGTTGTTAAAGATGTGTTATGATCATAAAATCTGGACAGCTGGAGCACCAAGATGCACTTCATAATCTGTCCTGGCCAGCTCAATCACCTGACTTGAATATTATCAAACCACTCGGAATAGTTTTGGTGAGAAAATTTGAAGATTCCATCATCTCTGAAGCAACTGTCAGATGTTGTGATAGACAACATTCAACTGTAGACTAAGGTTGGAAGCTGTATTAAAGGCAAACAGCGTTAAAACACCTTATATTATTTATATATTTTTATTCCTTATTTACTTGTTCTATTTTTTTTTTTTTATTATCTGTGTTTTTTGTTCTGTCACTGTCATTCTGTTACACTGTGGAAGCTTCTGTCACGAAAACAAATTCCTCGTATGTGTAAACATACCTGGCAATAAAGCTCATTCTGATTCTGATTCTGATTAAGAAATATTGCCTATTTCCCAGGTGTTGACATGATTTTGTCCAGCCCCTGTGTATTAAACCTGTTTTGTGCATGTCAAGAGGTTTAGACCTGGATCACTTTTAGACTTCTGCAGATATTTCTCCACCAGTATGTACATAGATCTGTCTGTGGTCAAGCCCATAGGAGTCTTTCCTCTGTCACACTTTGATAATGGATCAGCACCATACTTCAGAAGTAGTTCTACAATCTGTAAGCATAAGTATTCAACATAATAATAACTATCACAGTCTGTGTATTTTATATGCACATTTTTAATAATACTAACTAGTGTTAATTGAAGGTACATCTGAGTACCATTGTGTGCAATTTACACACCTTGTAATACTGACAATATATGGCATCATGTAAAGGTGTAATTCCATTATGTCCTCTGCAGTTGACTTCGGCTCCAGCTTCGAGTAAAATTTCTGTCATGTCATACTTGTTTCTCTGCACTGCCTCATGGAGTGGAGTCCAACCTGAAAATGAATAGACCTTCAAGTTGAGAAGTGTTAGTCCACGCTGCCATCAGGTGGACACGTATGCTAACTTCGACCATTGGTCTATAACCTGGGGGCCAAATAAGGCCTGTGGGATGATTTGAATAAAAGAGTGAAATATGCAGTGTCCGACTCCTAATGAAAAACTATAGTGGTAATGAACAATTTTATGTTTTATGATATCCTCCAACATGTCATACCTGCATAATCTGGTATGTTAACGAAAGCACCCGCTGTGATCAAGTCTTTGATGTCTTGAACGTCTCCCTTCATCACGGCTAAATGCAGCTTTGTCTCTCCAAAATGATTCCGTCTGTGGATGGACTTGAGTGATAGGACTTTCCCTGACTTGCCACTGAAACCTAACAAACAGAGTTATCTAAGAGTACCTCATAAAGGCACACATATGCTTTTGTCAAGAAAGTTTAATTTCTACCATGGATTCATCATTCTGAACAACATCAACAAGAATGCATGCTGTAATGTTACCTGTATACACTGCACTGATCTTAATTTGTGTGGTCAGGTTTGAGCACTTGCCTGAACTAATGTAAGGTTTAGCCAGTAATGTTGGTTTATCATGTGTAGTCAAAGGTGTATTGAATGCCTTATTGTACTCTTTAGTGTCTAGATTCTCCTTCCTTTTAGAAGGCAGGGACCTGTAAATAAACAGCAAATAAACATTTATTTTTCAGTAAATATCATCAGTAATTTTGAGCTGATTTACACTGTATTGGAGCAGCTGAATTAAACGAGTAACATACAGTGAGATCCAAAAGTCTGAGATGATGCTAGGAAAATGCTTCTATTTGGCATTTTTCTAACTGAATCAACTTTTTAAAATCACAAATTATATGATCAGCTTAACAGTTAGAATGAAAAGTTGGATTAGATAATATGTCAAAATAAGTTCCAAAGAGCATCTTTGACTCTGATTAGTTACCTAGTAATTAATTTTACATATACATATAACATTTCATTGTTTAAAAATTTTCAAAATGTTGAACCTTCATTTATTTTCAGGTTTAAATTAGATTTTGAATCTCAAATATTCACAATATGGTTTTAGACCCTACTGTATGTTTTAGCAATCGACAATCTGAAAGTTACTAATATGTGCACTTCATATGCCTGATTGACCTGTGTTGAGTATTCAGTAGTTGAGTGCTCTTCATTGTGGCCACTGGATCAGCTTTTGTTCCAACTGTTTTGCCATTTATTCTCACTGAACGTCTCAAAGTAGGCCAAGACTGCTGGTAAGAAGCATCTAATGAGATGGTGCCATTTATGGGAATGGGTCTCAACACTAGGGGGCAGAAGTTACATACGAATTAGCCAAAGATCAGAAGTCTGAACTGCTTATTGACTCTCCAAAACAGTGAAATAGGGTGGATCAGGTGTGTAGCTCACATTGCAAACGTTTTGAAGAGCTATTTATCTAGTTGAGGATCTTATGGAACTTGTTTAAAGTTCGAAGGTTTACTTTTCCAGACTAGGTGCATCAACTGGATTACCTTCTCTGGGTTCCCTTTCTGAAGAACTTTCTTCTTCGTTAACAAGAGCTTTAACTCTGATAAACACAGAGCAAAGCAAATTATTATTCTGTGAATTTTACAGTTGAATGCATATTTTTTTAAGTCTAAAAAAGGTTTACAAACCTTGCAGGATTTGTTGGTGTAACCACAGTGCTGTGGGTTTGCTTGTAATAAAATAATAGAGACTTCAACACATAATATATGTAGAAATGCTGAAGTGTAGATTTGATTAGGACCTCAGCATGTGCCGTCGAATGTAATCTAACGTTACCTGTTTTGTTGTGAATGTCTTTCTGCTTTGTCCAGTGAGACACTGCAGGTCAATCTGAGGGGAAATCTCTGTCAAACAAAGAAACTAACGTTACTTCAGCTGCTGCTGGAACTGTACAGTGAATGCTAGTATAATTAGTGGTGATTACTAAGACCGATTCTCAAACCGTCTTGAACCGAACTTGTACCTTCACTCAACACACGAAGAGAGGCGACAGTGGGGGATGAGAACTGTTCTGTCAACATCAACCTACAATAATACATCAACCAGTAGTTAGCATTGCAAATCTGACATTTTCGCTCCATTTATTGGCGCAGAACATAACGTAGAAACGCATCCGTTAGCCGTTAATGAGTTGACCTGCTGAGGTAAAAACCCTGGTCTGCTTCACCACTGTCGTCGTCGGTCGCGATGGTTTCCTCCTGCTCTAAATCCATATTTGTTTGCATTTAACAATACGACACGACACAAGACAAGACACTAAATATAAGAGCAACGTGTCGTTACATTGGGAATATTTAGCAACGGATGCTATGATTAATTATGAAGGTGTGTTATCATTTCTGTTGGTTTTTGGCGGCAAATTGGGTTAATAGCTCTAATCTGATTGGTCAAATCAAGATCTGATAGAGAGGAGTTTTTAATGTTTCTATTATTATTATTATCATTTTAATCTGTTGTCTTAAAATAATATACATAAATAGATTAAAAATCATTAAGATCTTAGCAATTCCTTTATTCATAAACGTTTTTGTTTACTTTTAAAGATGCACTAATCTTCCTAAATAAAAATGACTTAAAATTATAAAATGAATTATATTTTTGAAAAATGTTTACATACTACACTGCTTTGTTCTCGTGTTATCGAACATTATGGCTGACAAACAGGGCATCTATAAAAACACCAACTACATAAGCTATTTGCTTTTGTATGGTGATGAGTGAAAATTCATGCAAACTTAGTTCTGAGAAGAATTTATCATGTCAGTGGCACGCATTTCTAAAGTTCAGTAGATAAATACAAGAGCGCCTGCAACACCCCTACATCACACACATACTTGCTGATCATCTTTATATAAATCAGTTTAAAGAATACAGAGATCTGAAAAGCTGCTATATACAAAGTAAACGAGCACAGATATTTGCAGGCCAAATTACTATATGCTAATTACTGGATTTTTTATTTAATTTTATTATAGATCTATTTATTATATTATTTTAAGTTATACATTCTGAAATGTTTCATGAAAACAGAACAAACATTAGATCAGATTATTGTTATTGTTAAAAAATAAAAGGTTAGCAAGATTAATTAGCATTCCTTATTCCTGTATCTATTACAGTTAACATTACAAGGTCGGATATTTTTGCGGTCAAGGCTGGGCCAAGGTTCACACACCGACCTCATACAAATTCAAATGATGATGGTCAGGACACGCCCTCAACAACATTCGCAGGAAAGTGGGCGTGATTTTGTCGCGTAGCTGTATGGTTCGAGGATTTGATTGGCTCTCCGCTCTACTGACGCAGAGCCATGCCATCGCTTCATAAGCTTAGGAGGATGCCGGTTTTTGCGACTGGAGTCCTCAAACGTCGGGATATGGATTAATATCGTCTACATTTATTTATTTCGGCCACTCTAATCATGAAAAGCACCGCTAAATGTTAATTTATAACAGTGAATATATATATATAGGCTTTTATTTAATCAGCCGCATATGTGGAGGATTTTACAGTGATTTGCTCTTGGTGTACTAATTCGTAAACCCTCATTGACCCCTATTGGTAAGTAGCCGCATCAGATCTACAGCCAAAGCTTTTATTTTAGACATGCCTAGTTAGTGTTGTCCATGATCCAAGTTTCGAATGTCGATTTCTTCCCCCCCAGTTCATTTCGGCATTATTGCATCAGTGACTCATGTTTTATCATCACTGTTGGTGATGTAGGCTTAGAAAGCAGAACACGAAATGTAGGTGTTTAGGTGACTCAGCTTTTTGTGTGTGTGTGTGTATATATATATATATATATATATAATTTTAAATATATATATTTATGTCAAGCCATCTGATGCTACTGTAGTATAGTGTAATAAAGACCATTTCTATAAACAACTCAAAAACAACTTTTATTTAAATAAAATATAAGTTATACCCTTGGAGCACTTTAAGTGTTTTTTTATATAATTTTTTGCATGATTTCATACTTATGAAACTGCAGCGTTGACAGAATAAATGACAGAAATGAGGTGACAGAATAAAGTTCGTAATTCATAAATCTGCCATTGTAATCCTGTTTGACAAGTTTCCTTTCTTTTCTCACATTTGCTTTCTGTCATCTACAGTAAGTGACTGTAACACACCTTCAAAATGCTGACGAGACTTTTCCGAATCCACGGCCTCTTTGTGGCCTCCCATCCTTGGGAAGTCATTGTGGCTACTGTGACTCTCACCATCTGCATGATGTCCATGAATATGTTCACTGGAAATAACCAGATTTGTGACTGGAACTTTGATTGCCCCAAATTGGAGGAGGTACAGTGTGTTACTGTGGAAATAAATGTTGTATTGCTTTTATAAATTTGATGATCATGGTGGCAGTTAAAGTGAAGATTTATCTAATGATATTGTGTCATTAAATTTAATTATTATCCCCATTGTTTTTTTTCCTCTCTGTTTTGTCTTCAGCAAATCTTAAGCAGTGATATCATTATCCTGACAATCACAAGATGCATAGCGATCGTCTATATTTACTTTCAGTTCCAAAATCTTCGACAGTTAGGATCCAAATACATATTGGGTGAGTTGTAGTTTTTTAACCTGTTTTTTTTTAAAAAAAGGAGTTTGTGAGGTAACATGAATTACAAGTGTTAATGTTTATATTAACATTTCTTTTTCAGGCATTGCAGGACTTTTCACAATATTCTCCAGTTTTGTGTTCAGCACAGTTGTGATTCACTTCCTGGACAAGGAGCTGACAGGTCTCAAGTATGGACATTTGTGTCTTGTATCACTCTCACAAGAAATCTTTGAAGTATTGCTTTGTTTTTGGAAAATAATTTGTAAATATATAATGTTAAATGTTTATATTTTGTATACATTTTCCAAGTGAGGCCTTGCCATTCTTTCTGCTGTTGATTGACCTCTCTAAAGCATGTGCTCTGGCCAAGTTTGCATTGAGTTCAAACTCACAGGTACTTTACCTTTTCATCTACATTAAAATTGCGTTTAAATAAATAGGACTAATCATGTCAGTCTTAAGTTTTTCGTAAATGGCTTTTTTGGCTGTCCTGCAGGATGAGGTGAGAGAGAATATTGCCAAAGGAATGGCTGTTTTAGGACCCACTTTTACTCTTGATGCCCTTGTGGAGTGCCTGGTGATCGGTGTAGGGACAATGTCAGGTAAACGTCACCCTTCCACATTAGACAGAAAATCAGCACAGGTGGAATGTGCTCAAATTAAACCGACTTGTTTAACTCGGCAGCAGTGATCTTTATTTTGTCCTTTATATTGTTTTCCTGCAGGTGTGCGACAGCTTGAGATCATGTGCTGCTTTGGTTGCATGTCTGTCCTGGCTAACTACTTTGTGTTCATGACATTCTTCCCGGCCTGTGTCTCTCTTGTGCTGGAGGTATGTAAGCATATTTCAGTGCAGTACATATAGAGAAAGACTAGAACATATTCTAACATGTGCCTATTTTACATAGTTGTCTAGAGAGAGCAGGGAGGGACGACCCATCTGGCAGCTGAGTCACTTTGCTAGAGTTCTGGAGGAGGAAGAGGACAACAAGCCTAACCCTGTCACACAAAGAGTCAAAATGATCATGGTACGCAGTGAACCAAAAACACTACAGTCTTTTGATACTGGGATTTATGATATTGAAGGTTTTGTTTCTAATGGTCTGGATCATGCTTAATATTTGCAGTCTCTTGGCCTGGTCATGGTTCACGCTCATAGCCGGTGGATTGCAGATCCCACGTCAAGTAATGGAACTCTTGATCTTCCTGAAGTTGGAGTGAGTCTGAATGACAATATGCCCAAGAGAATTGAGCCAGACATGCCCCTTTGGCACTTTTACCTATCCAGGTAGGCACACTTCAGAGATTTTATTCATTTAATTAATAAGAATGTTTTGGCCAATAATGTTTTCTTAAAATTCTATGTATCAATAGTTCAAAATTCACAGTTCTATGTATCAATTTGACTATAGATACACAACATTATAATGTGCAGTATAAACATTTGACATAGAAATCTATTTTGAGATTTGCTAAAGATTGCATTTAACAGTGTTATTTAATTGTTACTTTTCTAAAGATTTAGTGAGTGTTAGTGTAGATCAGTTTAGTGAGTGTTAGATAACAGCAAAGATAATCTTAATGTAAAAATAGGAGAAATGAGCATGCACAATTAATTATCCAAAATCAATAGATACAATAAAAAAAACTCTAATATTGGCTGATAAGCAGTGTGGTACTGATATATTGTGTGTTGTTAATAATAGTAACAATAACAAGAATATGATGTGATAATTATTTCATTCTGTGCTATGTTTAGGATGATCGGCATGGACATTGAGCAGGTGATCACACTGGGTCTCGCCCTGTTCCTGGCTGTGAAGTACATTTTCTTCGAGCAGGTGGAGATGGAGTCTACCTTGTCCCTGAAAGTGCCCACTCCAAGCTCCATGCTCTCTCAGAAATGGTCTCCTGATCAGTGCTGTAGGAAAGAGGTTCCCAGTTCCAGCAAGCCTGAGAAAACCCCAACTCCCCCTCCAGTTGTTACCAAAGAGGAAAGAGGTATTCTCTTCTTACTTTTACATTTTTGTGTTAATTTTCTGCCAACCCAACACCCTACAGTGGAATCTAACTGTAGTTTCTCTCCTTCAGATTTAGTGATTCGGCCCCTACCTGCCCCGAAAGAGCCTGAGCATAAAAGTACTTTTGTTTTGGGAGAGGATGAAACTCAGGAAATTGTTGATGTGTCGGAGTCTGTGATCAGTTTACCTGCTGAACCCAGACCTGTGGAAGACTGTCTCTCCATTCTGAAAAACCCAGATGTAAGAGCGTTGTCAAATATTCCTTTCTACAGCGATACTGTTGTTCTCTTTCTTGCATAAAGATTATCTCTGGGTTCACTGTGGGACTGAAACCTGTGGTTATTTTTTACCTCAGAGTTGACCCATGTAATCTCTAATGAGATCTTCCTTTTACTCTTTACACACTTACTCTTAGCCAATTAGTTTATGACATTAGACAAGATCAGAAGCATGCAGTGAAACTGTTTACTTCTAAGAGTAGACTTCTGTTACCTAAAATCCAAGTATAATCACAGTGTATGTGTGTGAGTATTTAAGTGTCACCTCTTCTGACCCTGCAGATGGGTGCTCGCTACCTCAGCGATGAAGAGGTGATCGCGTTGGTGAACTCAAAGCACATCCCAGCTTACAAATTGGAGGCCATGATGGAGACCCCTGAGAGAGGGGTGATGATCCGTAGAAAAATGCTCAGCCCCAAATTCCCAGAACCCACAGCTCTCACCTGCCTGCCTTATAAAGACTACGACTACTCTAAGGTAAGACATCAGCTCATTACATTAGAACATGATCTTTGCTTAATATCCTAATGATTTTTGGCATAAAAGAAAAATCTATAAGTTTGACCCATACAATGTATTTTCGGCTATTGCTACAAATATACCCCAGCGACTTAAGACTGGTTTTGTGATCCAGGGTCACATTTAATTAATGGTGCTTTATTGATTTGATCAAACTAGGGATGCACTAATATTAAAACCTTTCCACATTATTTTTTTTATGATGAGATCCACTAAACTTTTTAATGTTTTTGAAAGAAGCCTCTTATGATCACCAAAGCTACATTTACTTGATCAAAAATGCAGTAAAAACAGTAATATTGTGAATTATTATTATTATTAATTACAGATTTAATTCATTTCTGTTATAGCAAGTTGAATTTTCAGCATCATTACTCCAGTCTTCAGTGTCACATGATCCGACAGAAATCATTCTAATATGCTAATTTTCTGCTCAAGAAACATTTCTTCTTATTATCAATGTTGAAAACACTTGTGCTGCTTTTTATGGAAACTGTGATGTTTTTAAGATTCGTTGATGAATAGAAGGTTTATAAGAACAGCAATTATTTGAAATAGAAATCTTTTGTAATATTATAAATCTTGATTGACACTTTTGATCAATTTATTGTTCTTCCTGACTAAAATTAAATGTATTACCTTTTTATATATATATATATATTTAAGTACTTATATATATCTGTATGTATGTATATATAGGCAAATACAAGCAATACCAATAAATTTAAAAAATGTCTTAAAAATTCTTATAGGTCATAACCAATTTGTTACCATACCTTATACCATACTTCTGACTTGGGCCAGGAAGCAAAAACTTAGCAACGCTCTAGAAACTTAGCAGCCTTCAAAGTATAGCATTCATTTTCATGTTTTTTTTATTCCAGGTGATGGGAACATGCTGTGAGAATGTCATTGGTTACATGCCAGTTCCTGTGGGGGTTGCTGGGCCTCTGCTATTGGATGGAAAGCAGTTTCAGGTCCCCATGGCAACAACTGAGGGCTGTCTAGTTGCCAGCACAAATAGAGGCTGCAGAGCTATAGCAGTAAGCAAAACTTTCTTTTTAAGTTCTCAAAGGGAAGCTGAAAGCAAACACATTTCACACACATCTGAACTGGTAAAGTTGTGTAAAGTCTAAAGCTCATTAATCTAATGCTCTGTCGTGAATGGATTTCCCATAGCTGGCTGGCGGTGCCAATAGTCGTGTTCTTGCAGATGGAATGACCAGAGGGCCGGTGGTGCGTCTGCCTTCTGCCTGTCAGGCGGCTGAAGTCAAGGCCTGGCTGGAAAGCACTGAGGGCTTCAAGAGCATCAAGGAGGCCTTTGACCAGACCAGCAGGTACGGGATTATTTCAGTGAACTGATTTAGTCATTTTTAAAATTATGATTATGTAACATCGATTTGTGTTGTGTGTGTAGGTTTGCACGATTGGAGAAGCTTCTGATTGGTCTGGCAGGTCGCAATCTATACATTCGATTCCAGTCCAGAACTGGAGATGCAATGGGGATGAACATGATCTCAAAAGTACGCAAGTACTGTATTTTACAAAATGTTGTGAAACATGGTCACTGTGTATATTAAAGGGATAGTTCACTCAAAAATTTATATTCTGTCATCATTTACTCACCCTCATGTTGCACAAAAGAAGATATTTTGAAGAATGTTGGTAACCAAACAGTTGACGGTAGGCGTTGACTTCCATATTTTTTTCCATACTATGGAAGTCAATGGCTACTGTCAAATGTTTGGTTACCAACATTCTTCAAAATATCTTCTTTTGTGTTCAACAGAAGAAAGAAACTTGAAGGTGTGTAAATTATGACAATTTTAATTTTTTTTGTGAACTATCCCTTTAAATTAATCTTCCATGACTCATTTCCTTTGCTTGACTGAGTTTTTAAGAAGAGCTCATGTATTTTTTTTCTTTGGTCACCAGGGCACAGAACAGGCTCTTACCAGGCTGAAGGAGGAATTTCCAGAGCTTCAAATTTTGGCTGTTAGTGGAAACTATTGTACTGACAAAAAACCTGCCGCCATCAACTGGATTGAGGGCCGGGGCAAGTCAGTGGTGTGTGAGACCACCATCCCAGCCAAAGTTGTCAAAGAGGTACAACTACACCTCATCATATTCTACAAAATGTCCTGCAAAAGCTGAATACTGGCATTAGAAATGCCTGTTGACACTGAATAAGGATATACATTTGTTTTTGGAATGACAGTCTCACGCAAGTGTGTTTGTGTGCAGATTTTAAAGACGTCGACTGAGGCTCTGGTAGACGTCAACATCAGCAAGAACTTGATTGGATCTGCTATGGCTGGAAGCATTGGAGGTTATAACGCTCATGCTGCCAACATCGTAGCTGCCATCTATATTGCTTGTGGACAGGTAATAAAAGATGTCTTGTTTACAGTATGATTTTGATAAGGATTATGATATGTGATTATATAGTGGTGGTACAGATGTTTACAAGTGAATTCAACTAAATGAATTTGTCCTTGACAGGACCCAGCGCAGACAGTGGGCAGCTCTAATTGTATCACTATTATGTCCTTGTGGGATGTGTCAACCACATGATGACTCGGAAGCTGATATGGAGGCCTCAGGCCCCACCGGGGACGATCTTTATATCAGCTGTACTATGCCCTCCATTGAGCTGGGCACTGTGGGCGGAGGCACTAACCTTCCTCCCCAGCAGGCCTGTTTACAGGATAAAAACTACTTAATTACTGTAACGTGAGTATTTGTAATTCGTTACTTCACACCCCTGCAGGTACTTGATACAGGATTATTATTTTACATATATGAATGACAAAAGAATGTTTTCGTTTCATTGTGGATGTACAGTTGATAAATCCACTTTCATAGCTGGTCTCATGCAGTTTATTCTCTCTCTGTCCTCCTGTCAGATGTTAGGTGTGCTGGGTGCCAGTCAGGAGTGCCCGGGTGAAAATGCCCGACAGCTTGCCAAGGTGGTGTGTGCTACCGTGCTTGCAGGAGAGCTGTCACTCATGGCTGCACTCACTGCTGGACACCTGGTCAAAAGTCACATGACTCACAACAGGTAAGAACTATTTATTATATATTAATACAACATTCTAATTATATATATATATATATATATATATAAATCAGAATCTAAGAAAATAATCTTACAAATTAAAATATAGTATAAAATTATAGACTGACAATGTTTTGTAAGAAACTATCATCTGCAAACACCTGTATAATTGTTTTTTTTTAAATATATTTTGGCTATAGATCAAAAGTGAATTTGCAAGAAGCTCCAGGAACATGTACTAAGCAGGCATCTTGAGACTTCACATGCTGAAAATGGAAAAGGGCCATAAAGAAAGAGGATCTCACGTTTAAGGCACAATGATTAGTAATTGAGATTATTTTAAAGGCCAGCAAAAGGAATACAGTTCATGGATCCCCTGATCGGTTAAACATGAGTTAAACAGATAAAAGTAAAATGGTTGAAATTAAAGACTGGAATCAAGACCAGCTGTGTTTAGAAGCCTATAGCCAGTATTTCTAAATCATATCTGAGCAGAAATCGCTGTTTCCAGATCTGCTTTGTTAAGCTTAATTTGCTATGGATAGCAAATCTGCTCTTATATCCACTGCAGCCAGTACATAGAGATACAGAAGGCCACATAGTTTAACTTATTTCCTAAAATCAATGCAGTTCAGGTCACTTACAGGACCGACTGGATGGGTTAAAGCTGAGTAAATTTTTTTACTTCATTATTTGTTGGTGATAGCAACAGGGAGCTAACGGTCTGTTTGCCAACTTTTTGCCAAACTGGAAACAACAACATTAGACAGAAAGGGAAGGAGAAAGTTTAATCTTCATTGCACTTACAAAGGAAATGCCGTAGGGCAGTGCCGATAAAGAGAGGAGTTTAAAGTACTATGATTCACTAGTTGGTACACATGTAGAATAATACAGAACAACTACGAAATTGCCAAATGCAGCCGTCAGCAGTGCTCGTGATGTTTTTTTTGTCTGTGACACAGGAATGAATTGAATGACTTGTGTAAAAGGGTTGTGCTATGGCATGGTCACAAATATTTCAAAAGGTGCTACAATCCATTTGATGTTTCAGTTCTTTGTTCATTTAGCTATTTCTTTGTGTCTGAACACCTCTAAAATGGGTTTATGTAACAATACGCAACTTAACGCATTGCATGTTTCCAAAGGCTTGAAATGGCTTTTATACAATTGGTTCTAGTTTTCATGTCATGGAAATGTGTGGCTGTTTAGACATGTATGTTTCATGCTGAAGACATTGAAAGCAAGCTTGCTATTTTTTTCCCCCAAAGGCACAATTCAAATTATTCAATAAACTGCAAAGTTTTGTATATTTTTATAATAAAAGAAAATACAAAATTAATTGACCTGTGCTTGATCATATTCTGCTTCTTACTTGGGCAACTCGATACAAAAACTCAAGAAAATATTCAAGGTTTAAAGGGGTCATATGATGTTGCTAAAAATAACATTATTTTTTGTATTTGGTGTAATGAAATGTGTTTGTGGTTTAAGGTTAAAAAAAAACATTATTTTCCACATACTGTACATTATTGTTTCTCTATGCCCCGCCTTTCTGAAACGCGTAGATTTTTACAAAGCTCATCGGTCTGAAAAGCGAGGTGTGCTGTGATTGGCCAGCTATCCAGTGCGTT